TATGCTGATTTGCTTCAAAAGACAGCAGCACCCATTCACTGCAGGGCATCCACTGCTGAGCAAATGATGTAATGCAAACCTACTAAATAAATAAAATAAAATAGCATTTAGTCGTTTAGCAGACGCTTTTATCCAAAGCGACTCACAAATTAGGAAAATAGAAGCTATAAAAAGAGCAATAATATGTAAGTGCTGTGACAAATCTCGGTTAGTCTAATGCAGCACAGCCAGGTAGCAAGTTTTTGATATTCCAGAGTCTTGCTTGGCTTCACAATTTTCTGTTTCTCCAGCATATCTATAAACCAGCCATAAGAAGGTGTAATATTCACAATACTTCAAAGCAATGCAATATAGACTGTGTTCCAAATTATTATGCAAGTGACATATCAATAGGATTTCGGTACAATAAAGAGTCAGATAAATAAATAACTGGTATCAATCTCAGACAGGTTTGTTCAATAGTTTGCCAGGTCTTCTTAGGTAAATGGAAACCCTACTTAAAGAGGTTGTTGCACATTATTAAGCAAGTCACAGTTCTCATGCAATATGGTGAGGAAGAAAGATTTTTCTGAAGATGAAAAGTATGAAAATGTCTTGCAAAAGGCATCAAAACAAATAATATTTTGCGAAAAGCAAATAGAGATTATTGAACTGTCAAAAGATTTGTGAGTGACTTAGAGCACAGAAGATCTTGGTCAGATAAAGATTTATTAAGGAAAGTTTCTGTCAAACAAATGAACTGTATTGTAATGGCAGCTGTAAAAAAAGCCACTGCTGAGCAGCAAACAGGTGTTTGAAGCTACTGGAGTCTCAAGATCCTCTCCATGCAGACTGGCAGTTGTGTGTAAAGCTGCATTTCAGTCAATGCTAACCAAACCTCACAAAGAGAAACCTGCACAGTGGCTGTAGAAACACATTTTCAAACTGTTAAGCACCATGGTATTTATGCAGCATGGGATAGTGTGTTGTCCTGCAAGAAAATCATTTTATTTCCGAGAGCAGAGCACTATTCTTCATTTTATACCACAGCAGAAAATGGTCAGTTATGAACTCCACATCTAATAATTTGGAACACAGTGTATATTTATATATATTTTTGTAAGGAAATATTAAATAATATTCCCTCTTTCAAGTTTTATAAATGTCTTTAATACATAATTTTATGGTAAAAATCATTGATCGTTTGCTTTGAAAGGTGGGGTTCTCTTTGACAGTACTCCTTCAGATTCTTTAAACATCAAGGTTCAATGAGACTTACAGTATTTCCTTTCTAAAGCATCTGACACATTACAGCTGCAACTTTAGGAAATATGCTGTATTTAATAATTCATGACTAATAGCTCAAATAATTCATAGAATTTTGCACTGAAATAAAAATATTTTTAATGTGGCATGCAAAAAATACACTGACTAAACATGTTTCTTTTTTTCTTTTTTCTTTTTTTTTGCATTTAAAACAAGCTCATCACTTTTCTTATGTGCATCTCTAACACATGACATATATTTGATGGGCCCTGTCTAGATAAAGCTATATGAAAATATGCTAAATAAACACATTACATCTCTCTTCCCTACTGTACATTCAAACATCAGAATGGCTCAACAATGTAGTTACACTGTGGCACCAAAGCTACAAAAAAACTACAAAACATCAAACCAAGAGGTATCTTCAAAAAAATCCAACTTTTGACAGCCAAAAAGTGTCCAAATACTTTTGCTTTTATGTTTAGCAATATAGTTATATTTAAAAATTAAAACAAAAGTGTATATTATCTTATATACAGCAGAATTTATCTTTATGTTTTATCCTAATTGAAAATAAACGCCACTTTCATTTGTAAGTGCGGTTGGTTGAAGTTTGGAGGCACAGTAAGTTAAGTAAAGTCTTACCGTAGCTGTCCATCACAGGTTTAAGATCTTTATAGAGAGACGTCACGCTTGTTATGTCGCGTGCTGTCAGATCCCTGTATTTATACATCTGCGTACAAAGAAAAAAACATTACCCATATTACGACAAATACACTTTGTAAATAACGTCTCTGGTATGCAAGTGTTTTACATACCTTCGACAGCGTTTTCCGTAGGGAACTTTCGTTAATTGCCGCCATGCTTAAAAAGACTATGAACTAATGTACTACTTAAAACGACTGTACAGCGTTTATTATTTAAATTATGTAGTTGTTGTTGTTATGGACATAAACTAAAATTCAAACCATCGCATCCATAACTAACAAGGAAATCACGGCTGAAATGCATTGTCACTTCCGGTCAGATGACTGATGACGCAGAACTGACGTGTACGTGCTTTACTACAGTAGCTACTGCTAAAATAATATTTTTAAACTTTATAAATTCACCTTTAGGATATAGTAACTAAGTAATATGTGACTTTTTAATATGCAAATGTAAAAAGGATGCTCAGGAAAGCCTCTTTATTTAATATTCTTTCTTAAAACAATAATGGCGGTAGGCACAAATCTTTAATAACACATTGTTAAAAGGAAATTCATTCTTGTCTTCACACACAATAGACACAAAATAAAAATAAGTTATTAAAAATACTCATATTTTTAAGTAGCCTATTCATTGCTGCAAAAACCAACATATTTAATAGCAGAACCGACACAGCCTTTTGGAATTTTCTTTTATGGGAACGCTACCATAACGCTGTGTTCTACCAATTTTTTTTTCCATAAAAAAGAAAACATACAAATTATTTAACGTTAGCAGCAGCAGTTGGCGTACGACAAGTTCAAAACAGAATACAGAGGATAGGTCACGTGTTTGTGGGTTATTTTACATAATGTTAATTCGAGTGTTACGGGAAATGGCCATTAACAACATTATTAAAGTAAAATAATATTCAGTAAGTGGCAGCAATCACGCCACCCGATAAACCCACATTATTCTGTGGCACCACAGACAGTAAATCCATCAAAAAGATCTGATGCCCACAGCATTCTGACAGAAACCCTTGAAGGTCATATCCATAGCTACTGAGATGTGATTTAAAGGGAGAATCATATCCGCCCATGTATGTCCTTGAGAACAATCAATAGACTGTCAGGGAATAAAATACAGCGCAATCCTTTAGAGAAAAATCATCAAATTTCAACCAGAAAGAGAAGACACTCACTGCTAGGAGTTCATCAGATTCACATAATGAACTATAAAGATCTTTGTTGAGATTTAAAATCTGTACTTTGCAAAGAGACATGAGCTACTTTTAAGCAATCAGGAAAGAGAAAGTCCAGACTGTTGCAATTACAAGGCCATATGTTGCCTATGAATAAATATAGAGCACATAAATTAAGGTTCCCTATTATAATTTACAGTAAGGGTATACAAACAATCTGGTGTATTTGTTTTTTTCATTTAAATTTTTCACATTTAAACCTACATCAATCTTCACTCCCTAATGACACAATCATGGAAAATTTACTTCAGAATGGCATAAAGGGGAAATGCAGTTGGAGATTAGACAATATGATATACATGTAAAAGTTTCAAGCTTATGCCCTGAACATGGATACAGCACAGTGCTTGGCAAGAATATCAACAAGGCTTTTCAGTCCAAGCTTTTAAGTTTATAGTAACTTTGCATTCATTTTCTAACAACTATGATTATTATTTGAAGAGATGTTCATTAATCTGTCGTCTTTAGCCAATGCAATTATCTGCAGTGCATTTGTCTAATATCGTAAATAAAATGCATCACATCTGAATATCAAGCCACAATTCATAGACCCTGAGGGCCATTCAAAACCAGAAGCAAACAAAGAATAAAGTCCTCCACTTCTAAATTTTGTCCTAAACCTTGTGCAAATCAAAGACTTATCGGAGGTGTACCCAATAATCGCAATCTATTGTACCATAACCTGTGATAAACACACTGCACATGACTAAAAGTCCTCTTTGCAAGAGAACACCATGAATTATGTAAATTTTATTAGGTTAGACTTGCTCTAAGCAAATGACAATACAAATCTTTCTCACATCCAGACATATGCTAATATAACTGATGTAGTATTTCTCCTCTCCATCTCGTAAAGTGTTTTTCTAACATCCACATCTGACAAAGCAATATGAGAGGTTATTTTCTGAGCTATTACTTCCAGTTAAGAGTAGATAGTTTGTTTAATGTAAATATATTTAAGTGTGACAGCGTCATCCAGTCATAGCAACTTCAGTGTTGAGACCGTTAAAATGAGGTACAACTTATTTCATCTCCAGTGAAGGAGCGAGACGGGAACATCCCTAAGAAGACTGCAGGGCTGCCAGATTAAAGATTTCCCTTTAACACAGTCTGCTCTAAACGTCCAGCATCTGTGTAGGTGTTGCAGTGTTTGTGGTCTGGAAGGCTGCACCGCTCTAAAAGCCACGTCATGCATATTCACTGCAAAGAGAAGGGGAGAACTGAGTACACATGAGCAGCGGTAGCCTATACAATGGCTTAATTATCCAGGAATACTTGTATGTTTAATTGATTGAGAATCATATGAATATATACTAGAATACTTGTATGTTTAATTTATTGAGAATCATATGAATATATACTAGGTTTCATGGTTTAGCAGCTTACAGAATAAAAATGTTTACCAGGATCATGACACCACACAGCGGCAGTTCATACAGCCTTGACCATTGTCATCTGGCGGGTTAAGTTTCCTCAGCTTATGCTGCCTGATTTCACGGACAAGAGTGTAAAAGGCATCTTCCACTCCCTAAAAAGAAACACACACACACACACACACACACAGGTTTGTTTTTGTGAAAAGTGGGGACATCCCATAGGCGTAATGGTTTTTATACTGTACAGACCGTATATTCTATTGGCCTACACCAACCCTACCCCTAAACCTACCCCTCACAGAAAACAAACTGCTATTTCAGATTTTCAATACACTCCATTCTGTGTGATTAATAAGCGTTTTGAAAAGTGGGGACAATGTCCTGAAAAGTCACCTTCTCCTTCTTATACCTATGTCATACCCTTGTCATTATACAAATCCAGTCCTCATGTATTGGTCTCTCATTGCACTGTACTCTTCCTGACCTGCAGTATCCAGGATATCCAACAGACACGTCTCTCCATCAATCACCACCTGTTTCCTATATGAGTCCTGTGAGGAAGAGCAATGCATCAATATCCAATGTAAGATGTTCAATGTTTCTAAATTCTCCTACTGCTCAATTGATATCGAAATATACAGTGAAATATATTCTGTTACTGAAAAGAAAGTGAAAACTGTGGCCTGTTTGACCAAAGTGGCGAGAATGCTTTACCCTCAGATGACATTTTGATGTTTCATATATATATTATATTTTAAATTAGGTAACACTATTCTGAACTGAGGATAAATAAATAAATAAATAACAAATGACTGAAAATACCAGCTTGACTTTACCTCAATGGTTGGGTCGTATTCATCAACAAAGTGGTTCTGAATGAGCTGGATGGTCAGAGCGCTCTTGCCCACGCCACCTGCACCAACCACCACTAACTTATATTCCGTCATTCTCACTGCTGCTGTGTCAGAAGCTGAGGGGAAACAAGGAACAAGGAAATTTGAGAAAACAAAGAATTTGGGAAATTCTAGATGAATCATTACTTGAAAGTCTGTTTATGAGCTGACGAGGAAATAAAACTCAAAGTGAAAACGGTAAAAGGTGGAAGCCAGTCAAAATCTATATAAAGTATACCAGTTTCCTGGAGTGAGGCGCTCATCCTGCCGACAGTATCTAATACAGATGATATTACGCTTGCGTCGTGTGACATAACACTAGACAAAAAGAAAAGCTATTTTAGGTTGCCAGGGGAAACTTTTACAGTACTTTTCCTGACAGTGATCTATTTGTGTTATTAGTTAAAACGCTTGGTGCAGTGACAGAAGAATTTCACTCACAACCTGTGTGATTTAATTCCTTCCAAACTTATTCTGACAACCTACTTAAAATATGGATTCTATAACATATAAAAGGTGACCATCTATGGTCTGCTTGAATTTATTTTCTTTTTTATATATACATAGGCTATATATCTCCTTGCATATGGAGCAAATAACATACCTATATTATTTAATTAACAAAAATACAAAAAGGTTATTAAACAACTCTGTTTTTTGCTAAGAAGATCAAAATAAAGTATGGGTCATCTGAATCGTTGTGTGCTATTAAAAATCAGTCAAGCTGGTTCAGCTGTGCTCAGTGGACACTCCATCAAGTATTCCATTTGAAAATCAATTTTTAGCTCTTCCACCTGTCATGTAGCCTTACCTGTGAAAAACATTTTCTTTTTTCTTGCTGGAAGTTTGTACAACTTTTATATTACTTTTGGGTTCTGGATCATGGTAAAGCATCTGGTCAGACTTTGAATTCCAATTTTTTGCCCATGATATTAGTGATCATACTGTACCAGGGGTGTCACCCTTTGAAGAATTTCACAACACACACAACAATGCACACACACCCATACTTATATATACATATATACATACATACATTCACACACACATACATACGGATATATACATATGTATGGCTGTGTGTGTGTGTGTGTGTGTAATATACAGAAAAAAAATATATATTTATTTTTCCCGTTATTGCTGGAATACAATGACATCACCTTTATTTATTTCTCAGACGATGGAAAATGTAAACAACGTGGTCATTTGGGTGAGCTGATCTCTGCAAGCCTTACAATACATATAATGGCAACCAATCTATGTGATAATAAGTTTCAATAACGTCCCTAAATAAAACCCATCAGAGTACAAAAACTAGTCTTAGCCAAACGTCTCTGGCTCTGTTGGTTTAAATGAACTCACTCCTCCAGCATCGACCATTATTTCCATGCAGAACAGCGCTGTATGTATATGAGTATTTGATAGTTGCACAGCTCGCTACAATGTAACAAACTCGAGATGAATGGAATTCAGGCGCGCTCACTGATTTGACGCATTTGTTTCGTTTTTCATGTTCACTAGGAGTAGTTCTCCAGTTTCGAGATGCTGATGAAATGATTTATGTCCTGACGCCAACAAAATGTTCCGTCCAGCGTCTACAAGGAACATTTTGTTGCTGCTGTTATTCCTGCGCGACACACAGCATAGAAAGACAGCGGCTGGACTACTTACAAAACACACGGCGCGGTTCGCTCGTCTCGACGACACTCAACACAAGTCAATAATATGTCGACATCCTTCCCGCTGCTCCCCTCAAAGCTCGGCTGCTCTTCACTGTTTTCGTCATTAGACAGCGCGTCTTCTTCTTCTCCCGCGGTACAGATTCACTGAAGCAGATGCGATCAACACAAACATTGAACAACGGGCTGCCGGTGTGCGTCGACTGATATGCGAGCAGTGTGTGTTTGTGTGTGTGTGTGTGTGTGTGTGTGTGTAGGGGAAAGAAGAAGAAGAAGAGTGCGCTTAGAGCCACAGCACACGCCCAAACCCTGTGTGTCTCAATACACACTACCACCACACACACTCTCTCAGCCTTACAATACAGGTGGGCTGTCTTATGTTGCAAAACACAAAAACAACCTCTGCTTCTTTCTTTCATTTTCTTTCTTTCTTTCTTTCTTTCTTTCTTTCTTTCTTTGTTACAGAACAATGCCCAAGTTGTTTTCTTTCTTTCTTTTTTGTTACAGAACAATGCCCAAGTTATTTTTCAGTCTGTCTCTTTTTTTTTTCTTTACAAGTAGTTTAAAAACACTGGCAATTAGAAGGAAATTTCAGATTATAAAACACATTCAACGAGTCAACTTTGAAAAAAATAAAAATAAATGAATAAATACTGTATATTTTTGTATACATATTTTGTATAAATACTGTATATGCTCCTTTGATT